GCTCGCGCTGGCGCTGCGTGTGTTTGCGAGTAGGTGCATAGGTTAGTGCCTCATCTCACATTCCACTCATGTGATACTATTAAAAAAATAAGTAGGAGGTCGTGACAGAGCGAAGTCTTGTGCCTTTCACCAAGGTTCGGGTTTGATTCCCGGAAAAACTCGTGTGTAATTTGTTCCAACGAAACGAGTTTGCTTGCTTCACGGGGCCTAGTCCAATCCCTGTGAAGCGTTCTGAACCCTACCAGTGTCCTAATTCCTTCCCCATTCTGGCCGATGGTTAGTGTCCCAGGGGCGTGTATGAGAGGCGCGTTCTCGGGGATTTTACAAAGCGGTGCTCTTGACTCACTTCTGCGTATAAGTATAGTTAACGTAATAATAAAAAAATAAGGGATTACTACAAGAACACGTTATATGCCAAAAATTGGCTTCCTCTAGGAACGTTGTCAGAGAAGAAGTGACGGAAGTTTTAAAAAACTTTAATACTATAACATAAATGACATTTACGTTATTAATGACCTAAGTAGGTGATGCACCATGATGATAATCAATATACTCAGTAGGTAATTAAGATTTTTGAACGATTCTTTTCTAAATTATGAAATATGCGCTTTCCCTTATCCTTCAGTTCAATTTTGCCATTTTTCTCCTTTTAGAGATGAGTTGTCGTTGAGATATGTTCATATCTTCTTCGTAATATGGATTTTATATGATTATCGTAATTGCGTTTAAAGTGTTTTCTCATGAACCTTCAAGATTGTAGATACAGTAAGAATGTCTTGAGAGGATGTGGTGGCTGTCAATTATTCACACTGAATTAAAGAATAATTCAGGAACTTCAAATTTCATTTACGTGATTAATGACCCAAGTATGTGATGCGGCATGATGCTAATCAATATACTCAGTGGGTGTGCAGGAGTTTTGAACGATATTTTTTAAAATGAAGAATAGTCATGTCCGTATCATTTAGTTCAATTTTGCCAATTTTTCTCCTTTTAGAGATGAGTTGTCATTGCAGACATGTTCATATTCTTCTTCGAATATGGATTTATTGATTATCGTAATTGCTTTTAAAGTGTTTTCTCATGAATTTCCCATGATTGTAGAATACAGTAAGAATGTCTTGAGGAAGGATGTGGTGACTCAATTATTACACTGAATTAAAGAATAATTCAGGAACTTCAAATTTCATTTATGTGTTAATGGACCCAATAGTTTGCATGCGGCCATGATGCTAATCAATATACTTCAGTGGGTGTGCCATGAGTTTTTGAACGATTATTTGTAAATGAATGAAATAGTCATGTTCCCGTATTCATTGTTTCAATTTTGGCCATTTTTCTCCTTTTAGAGATGAAAGGTTTTGTCATTGAGAACATGTTCAAATCTTCTTCGAATATGGATTTTTACTTTGATTTATCGTTATTGCTTTAAAGTGTTTCTCCATGAATTTCAATGATTGTAGATACAGTAAGAATGTCTGAGAGATGTGGTGACTCAATATATTCACACTGAATTAAAGAATAATTCAGGAACTTCAAATTTCCATTTATGTGATAATGACCCAAGTATGTGAATGCGGCCATGATGCTAATCAATATACTTCAGTGGTGTGCAGGAGTTTTGAAAACGATTATTTTGTAAAATGAATGAAAATAGTCATGCCCGTATCCATGTTAGTTCAATTTTGCCATTTTTCTCCTTTTTAGAGATGAGTTGTCATTGGAGAACATGTTCATATCTTCTTCGGAATATAGGATTTTACTTGATTATCGCTAATTGCTTTTAAAGTGTTTTCTCATGAATTTCATGATTGTAGATACAGTAAGAATGTCTTGAGAGGATACGATAACTGACAATTATCACACTGAATTATAGAGAAATTCTGGAACTTCAAATAAGAAAGATCAAAAGGAAATCGAATGTGAGTCTCCTGAGAACCTATTCGTGATGTTTGCATTTTCTCTTGTTTAGTCCGCGGTGATGAAACGCAGAATAACGTGAAGGTCTCCCAAAATATACGAGCGCCGACTCCAGACGAATCTTCCTCTCTCAAACTTCGTCATCGGAAAGAAAAGTCAGTTTTCCTAATTGCGAAGCCTCGCGGCGTCTCACCCCGCCTCACCCGCCGCCCAACACCTCCGTCTCCCCGCGCCCTCCCGGCCCTCCCCCTGTTAAAACGCCGCCCCCTCTTTGAACCTTCCCATCTCCGCTCTGCTCCCGACTCTCCCGTTGTCCCCACCTTCCCGCGCGCCGCGGCTCTTCTCCCCCCCCCCGAGTCGCCGCCTCCGCCCTCACCGCCCCCGCATTACATTCATTAGCCCTCGACGCCGACTACGCGGACCTGCGAATTGTCGGAGAGAGGATCGATTAGAATACGAATAAAAAGGGGATGCACGGGGATGGCGCAAACAAAGGCCATTGTTTTCCGGGACCTGGGGGCGACGGAGGAGGCGGGAGGCAGGGGAGCGCGAAAAGCGTGGAGCGCAGCGGGGCGGGCCGGTGGGGCGAGGCGAGGCGAGGCGCGGCGCTGTGGGAAGGACGCGTTGGCGAGAAGGGACGGAGAGGTGACCGCGGGAGGGGTGATTGTAGGGAGCCAGTGGGGGGGGGAGTGGTGATGGGAAGAGTCGAGACGGCGAGCGGCGGAGCGTGGCCGGCCACGTGGGTTCCGGTGACACAGGTGCCCGACACCAGCGGCCGAACCGGAGCTCAAGTTTTGCAGCGGGTAGCGGGTGAAGTGGAATGGCAAACATTTGGAAATTTGACGAACGGGGCGGAGAATGCGATTGGCCTCCTTGTGTTGCTGGCAAAATGCCACCACTTGTTCGTTTGCACTGTACGCAACATGTTCCATAGTTAGAAAAATTTGCAGGTTAGTCGAAATGGACAAGGCAGGTTAGTCGGAATGGAATGTTCAAAGCCGCTGAAATATAGTAAGATTGACATCAGTAATGTCAAAAAGGTAAATAACTTGTTCACGATATTTTCATCTAAATTTATCAAAATACACAGTCTACTCAGAGTGCACTCTACCTTAGTAATGAAGCATATTTTGAGATAATTATGAAAATCTGTATCGTACTAACTAAATAAAACAGATGTGTTTAAAGAACGGAATGATTATTCGAAGATAACATGACTTACTCACGTAATGTAAACTCATTGTTAATATACTCGTTTAATCAGTTTCTCGTTTTTTACCAAAAATTTCATTTGTTATGTTTAAACATAAATATCTTCCATAATGTGATGGAATTCCAACATCTTTTTACCCCTTTGTTTGCTTTCAACTGCATGTTATCGGCCACTCAACGGTCGGTCACAAAAACGCGACATCGATTCGTGTTCAGAAAATGAAATTTGCAATCAAATATGCCACAAAAATGTTTAAATATGTACAAAAAACTTTTAATTATGCACTGTTTGAATAGAAAAATAGGTATTTTGCGATGGCCATCACATCTTCTTGCCACCTATGGAAATAAGATATCTGCTAACTAAAAACAGGTAATCTACTTCTGCACATTTTGCTTTGCATTAAGAACACTGAATATTATGACAATGTTTTTAAATTCCTAGTTTTAGGAAGCGCCATATCAGACAATATCGATTTGTATTTCGAAATAGAAGTTTTCACATTCCAGGATGTAAGATCACATTTTTCACTTGACATGTTTGTGCTAAATACCTTATCTGAAAGGCAAGTGAAACATGGAAGATATATTGTCTTATTCGAGATAAAATAACGTCTTATCACATTTTACTCCTCCATTACTGATCGTCAGTCATCTAATGCTTTTTGTATATACCTACAACTACAAGACTTTTGTGCTTTGTATTAATTAATACTTTCACTTAAGACTAAATATTTTTAAGAATAATTCAACAATATGAAACAAAATTTACTTTTATGGAAAAATCCAAAATATGTAAAATATTTAATATATTATGCAAATGTTTTCTATCGATGATTTAATATTTACCATAAAATAAAAAGATTTTAAATTTCTGACAAATAAATAAGAAAAGTCATGCAATTGCATAAACTTCCGAGTTTTAAGTACGACAATGGCTCGATTCACTATATTCGTTTCTCTTAAACGTAATAGGTATTAATAGAAACGAATAGTTTTGCGGCAAAAATTCTACTTCGTTTTGTTTCATTGTCTTCGCCTGCCGAAGGAAAGACATGCGCTGTAAATAAAAAAATAATTGACAAGTTTATTAATAAATGATATTGCAAACTGGTATTTTTTATCTTGTCAAATAGGTGCGTTTTTTATTAAATACTTAATAAAAGTTTTTTATTAAACACTTAAGGTCTATCATTTTTTACACGAATAAATATACTAATCGAACAATATAAAATTTATAACATGAGATATTTTAGAAAATAAATGTATTCATCCGTATACCTAATTTTATCTATTGCATCGACGTTTGTGATATATTATTTCCTCATTTTTAAAATAATGTGTTCAATTTCAGAATAATTTGTGAATTGCAAATGTGTGTGTAAGTGTAAGTAATTGGAGCAAAATATTTTTAACGTTCATTGCAACGAGGACATAACGGTTCAACAATGTACAAGCGTGTACTTCATTTGATACTTATGAACAAAGTTTTGTCCATGTATTCACCAAAATAGTTATTTATTTATTTATGAGATATATCTTAAAGAGTGTTGGTAAATGTAAATATTGGTGTTCAGTGTTTCAAAACGAGTGGCGAAAAGAATGTTTCAATAGAGGGGTAAAACATTAGTAATACTGCGTATAAATTCAAACAATAATTATAGTGTAATGTAATCGTGACAAATCACGTGTGAAAGTCTGTGCTGTTTGAGGCACCGTTGGTACTTCGAGCGTACGAGACGACTACGAGATTATTCGTTCTCGTCTGTAATTCAGAAGCTAATTAAAAAAACCGCATTTCAATTGGAGACGCAGTTCCGAAGAATCAATTGCCCTCTGCATTGCGCTGTATCGGCACATTACGTCAGGCAAACGTCCAACATGGAAACGCGTACCGCGGCCCGCGCTTTGTTCTCAGAGCGACTAGTTTCCCCAACCGCGTGCCGTTGGCTTCCATTATGACGCCGCCGCGCCGCGCCGAGCCGCGCCGCGCCGCGCCGCGCCGCGCCGGCCCGCTCGTTCGCCACGAACGTGCTGGGTTTCGCAAATGAACGCGGAGAGCGCAAGGCCTCGCAGGAAATCCTTCACAATCCTCGCTCGACCCGCGCGCCCAGCCAGCACTTGGGCGGCCTCGGTACACAAAACGCTTTGCAGCGCGACTGCGTGGCGCCGTCGCCGGTCTGGGGGGGGCGAGGGGGGCGGCGATTTCCGCGCGCGCCGATGCGCGCATTGCTCTGCGGATTGGGGTAGAGCAACGCGCGTTGTTTGGAGCTGTTTGATTTGGTTTCGTTTATTTTCGTCAAAGAACGGGAAGGCAACTAGCGGGGAGAGGTAGTACCAACATGTGACCTACGGGGAAGAAGTGTAATATGCGCATGCTTTGTTGAGCTCCATAATCCCTTCCGCACGAGTTTACTACACACAGTTACATGATGAATAAAAGTGCAAAGAAGGAGAGGAGTCGATACGTACGAGATTTTCTCTCGTACAAGTGATATATAGTAAGAGTATTTCCCCCAATGATTTATAAAATACCTTGCAAATTAATACCAATCATCATTATTTCGATACACCTCTATCGTTTTAAAAGCGCTTGCGAATTGGAAGATAATACATTGAAACAATGGAACAAAATATGTGAAATTAAACTTCATTAAATTTGTTAAATAAGAACGCTATTCGAGATTAAGACACACACACGAAACGTAAGAAACGTCAATAAATAATTTTAATGGACAGTAATGAAACCCACAATCGTGGAACTAGTATCTTGGTGTTTCATATGGAACTATTGTAGCGCTATGTTTAATTACGAATGTTATTAAGGATGCAAGACTCCTGTTCATTTAATTGTAGGGGCGGTTTTAATGATGAAGCTTGTGCACGACCTGTAATTTTAATATTCTTTCCCCGCGGTTTTCCTTATTCTAGCGCCCATGCCTGTCAATTATAGCAATCTTCTGCACGAGAGAATAGCTTTGACGTTCGTAACCTTGAGTAGCAAAATACTCCATGAATTGTTTCAAGATGCATTTGTGGTGTCCTCGAGAATACACTGGTTTCACGGATTTAATAATTTCGTCAATTTCATTAAATCACGAAACTTATGGTGTAGTTGATTGTTGCACGTGATATACATGTCAGTTGTTGTACATGATAATTTAGTAATTAGTTTTTGAATAATTTTCTTTTTACGACATGACATATTTTTGAATTCTTTAGCAGACTAGATTGAAACTCCAAAACATTGCTACTTTCATTTCTACTGCCTCTCAAATATTTGTACTTCCATTTGTAGAACATAACATACTTATTGGTAAATGACGATAAATTGTTTTCCAAGTCAATGTGCATTACCACGCATTGATTATATTCCAGCAAGAATATATGATAACAAGTGCACGTGTCAGTGATAGGAAGAAGGAAATAAAACGAAATCATAAATAATGCACAGATAAGATGCCTCTGATTGGACGATAGTTGTTGAATTCTTACTTTTATTGGTGGAAATTTCACGAGTGGAATATTTGTAACAAAAAATACCATTCTGACGTATAGGGGTTGGGAACAATGTACGATCTTGTGAAAAAAAATAATTAAAAACAGTGTGAGACTTTTGTGGGAGAAGTGCAACTACTAGTTTAAAATTTCTTGATTGAGCCCCACGATCGCGACAAGAATGTAGTGACTCCGCAGCTCACTAGTGTCGAAATTCCGTCACCGTGGAGCGTAAAGGAACTCCGCCGTTTCCAACAAGCCCAGGCCCTTCTCCTCTCTCTCAGCTCACGCGCCCTACTCACTCGGATCCCCCCTCCCCTCCGGCGTACGAGTTGTCACATTCTCCGCACACAGCCCCTGGCGCCGCCCTCACGCCCACGTGCCAGTGCACTGAGCTCTCACGGCTGAGCGGCGGAGCGGGGAGCGGGGAAGAGCGGGGCGGAGCCGCCTATCTGGCCGTGACACGCACCTCTCGCGGCGGCAAAGGCTTCGCGGGCGACAGAGCGACCGCAGGTCGCCCACAATGCCCGCCCGCTGCAGAATGGGGGCCCGATCTCGCCCCGGCACGCCGTGGCTTTCGCGTGCGCTCGCCCGCTCTCTACTGTCTTCCGCTCGCTCTCGCCCGCCATCTATCGCGCTGTATCAATCTCTCCGTACTCCTCCGCCCTGACCACTTTATGTTACATTCGCTCTCGTTCTCTTCGGCTTTCTCTGGCACTCACGTGCTCTCAGCCGTCTTCCAATCTCTCGCTCTCGATCGCTCTCTCCCCCGATATTTCGCGCTCTAACAATCTCTCCGTGCTCATCCGCCCTGACCACTTTGTGTTAATTCGCTCTCGTTCTCTTCCGCTTTCTCTGGCACTCTTCGGCTTTCACGTGCTCTCAGCCACTCTCTACCGTCTTCCAATCTTCCGCTATCTACTAACGTCCACTCTTTCGCCATCGATTGCTCTCTTCCTCTATATTTCGCGCTGTACCAGTCCCCTTGTTCTCATCCGCCCTCGCCACTCGCTGTTTTACAATCTCTCTTCCGCTTTCTCTCTGGCACTTGGCGGCGCTCTTTTATCTTCCATTCTTTCTCTCCCTTGACGGCTCTCCTCCGTCGCCCATTGTCTCGCGCTCGACCGCTCTGAACCACTCTTTCGCGCTCTACCAATCTCACCGTACTCTTCCGCTCTCGCCCCTCGCTTTCTTGCGTTCTCTCTTGATCCATTCTATTTTTTCTCAGGCTCTCCTCGGAGTTCACGAGCTCTTGCCCGTGATCTTTCATTCTCTCTAGCTCGAACGCTCTCTACCACTCCTTCAGTGCCCTCCACTCAATCTCCCCGATCTCTCCGCTCGGACCGCTCGTTCTCTTAGATTCCTCACACCTTCTTTCACTTTCCCTCTGGCATCCCACAACGTTTACGGGCTCTCTACAACTCTTTTCCGTCCTCACGCGCTCGACCGATCTCTTTCTCTCTCTCTCTCTCTTTCGCTCTCTTTCGCTCTCTTTCTCTCTCTTTCTCTCTCTTTCTCTCTCAGCGTGTTCATGATCTCTTATCCATTCTCTCCCTCTTCCGCACACTTTTACTCTATTCTCTCTAACTATGCCTCTCGTTCTTTGGTTTCCTCTCACACTCTCGTGCTTTATTCCTCCCTCTCACTCACTCTTCCGCCTTACCCGCTCTCTCGTTTTTGTACCCAAAAGATTTTCAACGTAACTCTTCCGCGCCCACTCTGATTTTCGGTAGGTCTTTTTCCCCGTCTCTCGCATTAGTTGACATTCACGTGTTCTCCTCCTCGCACCCCGCTATCTTTCTCTCTCGTCTACGTTCTACCATTATCTTCATTTCTCTTCCAAGCTTTGGCAACACATCTGTATTTCTTCCGCTTCCTCTCAATTTTCTTTTTCCTTTCTTTATTTCTCTATTTATTTATTTCCTTATATCTTTCATTTTTTCCTTCTTTTTTCGAGATTTCCCATTTCCAGAAGACCTCTCCTTCAAAATTTACAGTCGATCCTATACGCTGCCTCAATCTCCTTTCTTTCTCTCACTCTTCTCACTCTCCTTCACTGTCGCATTGGTTCCGTTTACGCGCATTGTCATGTGCGGAGTCGCTCTCGTATTGGTCCGCCATAGCTCTGCCCCGTACACCCCATTCCAATTAACCACTTCGCCTCGACCACAAGTTCGCGACCGTTTTCCACGACTCACCGATCATTCGCGCTCTCCACAAGCTCAAGAGTCCACCCGCGCTTTGCACCGCGGTTGTGGCGTCCTCCCACGCACTCGATGCCACGCGCCTGAAAGAGCTCGTGGTCGTGTGCGGGCTGGCAAATGAACGGGCAAGCGGAGTGGCAACAACCATGCAAGCGGGCGGACAAGGGATCAAGCAGGCAAGCAAGCAGGCAAGCAAGCAGGCAAGCAAGCAGGCAAGCAAGCAGGCAAGCAAGCAGG